ATCTGCTCCTCTCATCCTGGACTTCCTGGACTTGTTTCTCCATTAATCCAAACATTTCTCCTGTTTTCCACCTGCGCTGCCTCCAGACCTCTGCTTTGACCTGWAAGCCCCCTGCTTTCTACAGCCCTCTGTAAATATGTCAGTCAGGACAGGAAGCAGCTCTGTAGCAGGGAATCTGCTGGAGGATCATAAAAACTGAGGCTGTTTGTGTAAAAACTGTAGCAGATCCTATCAGGACTAGCTAGCTGTGGTTGTAGCTGTAGTTCAACGATGTGGGAGTTGTTCTCTTTCTCTGGGTGTTTCTGACGTGTTCGTCCCAACATGGACCTCCTCCTCTGCTGCTGGGAGCCTCACAGATTCTTCTCCTGCTGTTACCTTGTAGCTTCGGCTCCTCTGCTGCTCCTCACCTCACCGGGACACTTTGGACTTTGCAGAGCGATGAAAACAAACGATGCTTAGATTCTTGTTTTTATCAGCGGGTGAAGTTTTTCCTGAGGCTCGGTTTAGATTGTGCACCTACARTAGTTTCATGTTTCACTGCTTTTAAGACGCTGCCAGACTAAAATGTGTTTCACTGAGTCGCAGCAGAACAGCACCTGAGGCCTTAAAACCTCTTTGTTCACCACCTCTCACTGATGAAGAGCCACCTGTTCACTACAGACATTTGTTTTAGGTTTGTTAGAGAGTTTATCTTTGCTTTGCACCTGCATCAGATAAAAAAACAGATTCTGTGAAAACAAACTACAGATGTTTAAAGAGATCTGAGAATTTAACAGGCAACAGTGTTGATGTTTCAATGCAACAAAAGGCTCTTCTGCTCCTTTTTGCTGCCGTCCKTAAAGGAAAGGGTCATTTACTCGTCACAACTGTGAACTTCATGGCATTTCCTCCCATTTATTTCACCTGCCAGCTCAAACTTTGCACATCCAGACTCTGCTGAAACAAGTGTGTCCTGGGTCTCTGTGTGTATGAAGTAAACATAAAGGACTTAATGTTTATCCTAATATTACTAAACTCTGTGACACTGCGGCTTGGTGGAATATATCATTATAAATGTGGTGCATGGATACTTGCTGAAAAACAACAATAAACTTCATCAAACCACTTGTGGGAGTGAAGTTTATAAGAAAACTAACACTGAGTTGAACAATAAAGGTAAAAATATATAGAAATTACAAGTGAAACATAAAGGGAMGAACGTAGCTGATTTTATTTATTATTATATCCCACTGTGTGTTTGACTTTATGCTTCAGGAACATTAAATATGATTAAAATTGTACTGAATGATTTTTGTTTTCATTTACTTAGTGCAGAGCACGACTTCCTGTTAGAATTTCAAAATAAAACATTAGCCACTGGACATGTGCTTTGCGGTGCAAACCATCAGTAATGCTGTCTTGAAATTCTTAATATTACTAAAATTGAGTATAAATAAATAAAACTTAAATGGTGCTTTCTTCATATTAAAAAAATCCCCCTCGTCAGATTTGTTTTACTTTGAAAAACCCTCACCGTCACGGTCTAACTACTTCCTTTCTGGGATCTGGTCGAACAGCGGTCGGACTGCCATTTTCTGGAGATGTTAACGGAATATTGCACACTTTCATCTAACTTTGTTTATAGATGCCACAGGAAGGGATAGGTTCTTAATTTGCAGGTTTTAATATTGTTGCTTTTGAGCGTTTAGCTGCGTTTTTTAGGCAGATTTAGCAGCGGTAGCTCGTATTGTGTTAGAAGGTAAGAGCGAGATGCTAGCTGCAAGTTAGCTTCAGTTAGCAGCCGAAGCTAGTTAGCGGCTAATGTTTATTAACATGTTTAAAACTAGAGTATTAGTTTGGATGATGTATCGAAGTGTATTTCCTTAAATATGACTGGACGTAATGAAGTCTTTGAGTATTGTACACTTAGCTATGAATTTATTGCAGTTGGAAACAAAAGCTAATTAAGCTAACAGTCAGGGTAGCAGGCTGGTTTGTTTCACGAATTTTGTTTTGTATGGTAATTGAATTACATTAAAACAATGTCTTAAACGTTTAACCAAATGTAAAATTCATCTTTTTTTAATTGGATTTGGCATTTGTCACTAAGCATTTTAATGTTTTTGTTGACAAGAAGTGATTTTAACTGCTTGTTTGTGTTTTAATAATAAACTTTTCTTCAATTAAAGGTTGACAAAATGTCCAGACCAAGGTCCAGATCACCGCATTTCAGGTATAAATTTTTATTATCCTGTTTTAGTCCACGCTCCGTGTCCAGTTTGAATAATCTGCTCTTTACAGATTTTTTTTAAGTCTCGCATGCATTTTTTCTGCCCTCTGTGTGTTTTTAGGAGATTTCCATGGGAAGAACCTGGCTTTGATCCTCACAAAGTTAACGAAGAGCTAGAAGTGTATTCGCGGGATCAAAGCCACCGCTTCAGAGGGGTTCCTGGGGACCTGCAGGAGTCCTTCAGAGATGAAACACACCAGGAAGGCCGCAGAATACCCCCACTTTTCTCATGTGAACTTCAGTTTGGACGTCGGCGACATCCGGACCAGGATTCTTACCGTCGGAGCTTGTCCCCCCACCGGGATGGAGCACGTTTCGAAAGCCACTCCCCCCAGGACGATGGAGAATTTGTCGAGCGGCGCAGAGGAGGGGTCAGAGAAGATTTTCTGGGCTTTGAAAACAGGGAGGCGTTTCCTCGGGGGAATCGACCGTCGTCCCCTCAGAGGGAGGCCGGGATGGGTTGGAGGAGGCAGGACCGGGGCCGCGGTCGGGTTCAAGGCAGGTTTGAAGGCTTCAATCCCAGCGGGAGGTCCGGTGACCCGAGAGCTGGCAGCATGGATAGAGGAAAGAGGAACACACAGTTCAGAGGTAGACAGAGAGAGAACCCTCATCATGAGAGAGGACCCGCTTTTAAAAGACAGAGAGGAGAAATGGAGGACGTCGATCATTCCGGGTAAATCATGAGTAAAAATACTTTCATCACTGTCAGGAAGTGAAGAATACTGAAGATTTTCACCTTTCCTGTTTTCCCTAAAGGAAGATTCCACTCTGTTTGGTTTAAGACCTAATTTTCCTCTAACCTAATAAGGATTAATTATATATTTAAAAAAATATTTATCAAATACTGCATAGCTCACAGTTTTCTGTTTATTTAGGTCGTATTTACACCTGATAGTCCGATAGACTYGGTTCGATTGGGGACCAAAACTGCAAGCTTTGTTTACATTTTCTGTTGGTGCGGTTTGAATTCACACTGCATGTTCTCAACCGAACTAAACCCTGTAAACAACCTGTTCCCRCCCTCACCTGTGGGGGCGCTGCACAAAGAACCACTAAAGGAATCAACATGAAAACCTCAGAAGAAGACATGGGGCGCAACTTTCGTCTTCACAAAATGTAAACAAACATTAGTAACGTTACGTTTTAGCGGTTATAGGGTTTATTGTTTGTTTTTTGCAAATGTGCTAAACAAATAGTCTTCAACAATGAGCTCAGCATGAGAGGAAGATGAGGCGGAACCACGGAGAATGTTGTTTTACACACAAGGCGGCTGACGAAGCTGTTATCGAGTAGGAGCACGTCCAGCTCCACAGTCATGATGTCCACCTTATACAGTCGTCCAGCGAGGTATTTACACCATATAAGTAAATTTAATACTGTTATTACTCAGAACGTCATGCGGTATAGTCCACTTCCTGTTTTTGGAGCGGTCTCTGGTCCGCTTAGCGTTCACACATGCAATCGAACCGCACCAGAGTTCTTTGCAATCGAACCGAGACCTAGGTTTTCAGGCAGACCAGAGTTCGCATTTTTGGTCCGAATCAGAGTTCGATTACGCRTTCACACCTCCACAAACGAACCGGACTTTCCAGGCAAACAAACTAGAATTCGTTTAAATCGGACTAAACAGTGATGGGGTGAACACGACCTTAAACTGAAAAGTTATAAAACTGCAGTTTAACAGTAGCTAGTTAGTACTAAAAATACCAGTTGTGATTTTAAAAGTAAACATGATGAAATGTTATCTACCTCTGCTGAACCATGTCACCTGCTCTTATACCATCAACAGGTTCGGGGGTGAGGAGGACTTTGGGGATCGGGGTTTCTCAGCGGACAGACCCAGAGGTGGATTTAGAGGACGCACTCGGGGGAACCTCCCCGAAAGAGACCCGCTCGTTTTCGAACACGATCACGCCGTCCCAGGTGACGAGAACGCGCCGGAGTTCAGCGACTTTGACGGTCGCAGGCGTCAGCCCACCTTCGATCGACGCAGGAGTCGTTCCAAGGGTTCCTCTCAGGAACGATTCCGAACCACGGATGTCCGGTTGGACGACCGCGAAGAACGCCGTTTTGCAGACAGTTCTAGGGATTCAAACTTCCGTGAAGCAAACACGATGAGATACGGTAATCAGGACGGCCCTGTGGGCAGCAGAGGGAGGTGGAGGAGTAACCAAGCTCAAAGTGGAAGTTTTGTGCCTCCTAGAGATCGACCGAGATTCCAGAACCTTCCTCAGGATGAACAGAGAGCAGGCTACCAAGCCTTCAGGGAGGATCCCATTGAGAAGGAGCCCACCTGGGCCAATGAAGACCGCCGCCCGCAGTGGGAAGGTGACAGGCCCCGAAGTCTGGAACGAAACCTGCGGAGGAACGAAATGGACCCCAAAATGCCCGGTCGGAGTGGATGGGAGGGCCGGAAGAATGAAGACATGATGGTCGTAACAGAAGAAACGCTCACCATCAAAGTGGACATGAGTCGACCAGCAAGCCAAACAAGGTAGAATATTTAAATGGAATGATTGACAGGTGAGGGGTGAAAGTTCACATTTTCTACTTCTGAACTCGAAGATCAAGAGAGAAACCATGTGGAGTGAAGAAGAGGACGGTTCATATCAGCTGATGTTTGATTCAACTCAAATCCATCAGGATGTTCTCTTGAGAGATATTCAAGAAACGAAACAGATGGCATCAAGATGTTTAATACAAGTTCCACTCAGAAGCTTACATTCTTAGTAAGACCACCTGAAAATTCATACTTTTTATCAAAGAATTAAAAAAGTTACTCACGAGATCAATGGAAGGAATCAGCTTTGAGTTCATCTTTGTGAACGTTTTAAAGAAGAGAACAGATTGTTGAGATCAGACCTTCATCGTCTCGTCATGAAAAGAAGAATCACTTCAGAAACAAATGGTTCCTTTTACTCAAGGTTGTATACCATTTTACTCAAGGTTGTATACCATTTTACTCAAGGTTGTATACCATTTTACTCAAGGTTGTATACCATTTTACTNGTTGTATACCATTTTACTCAAGGTTGTATACCATTTTACTCAAGGTTGTATACCATTTTACTCAAGGTTGTATACCATTTTACTCAAGGTTGTATTCCATTTGAATCAAAAGCAAGAAAAGTTTGAATTAAAAGAAGATGTTTTCTGTGGAGAGCAAACAGAAGGTCCTTTAGATGGTTGAGTCCTGATCTTCTCCGATGGAAAGAAACAGATGAAAACCTCATTGAGGTCTGGTTCACATAAAGACGTTCTGTTTTGTGAGGCTAGTGGAACCAGAGGTGGATGAAGATCTTTACAAGACTGAGTTTAAAACCAGAAGCTTCAAGTAGTTTTCCTGAAAGATCCCAGAAGAAGGAAGCCGATCCTGCTGAGGGACAGCAGGTTCATCTGCTGATAGAACTCCAGTCTGATGGTTGAGGGGGGTTCTGAGGGTCCGTCTGAACAGACCGGACCTCAGCATGAATCTGAAGTCTTTAGCAGCAGGAAGCTGCAGCGTGTCGTTGTTTAAAGAGCCGTTAACCGTTCCTGAAGAAGGAACTTCGTTCAGATTGACTGGTTGAACGAAGAGGAGAGGACGTCTTCGTGGTCTGTCAGACCTCCAACATGTCAGCCGGTGGTTCCTCCACACAGTTCACATGAAGCGGCCTGAAGAAACATCTGTTGCAGCTTTTAGATTTAGTTTTTCAGCTCCTAACGTCAAAGCATTGCGATGAAGAGGAGAGGAAGTTGTCCAAGATCAGAAGTTATTTGTTGAAGATAATCCCAAGAAATTAAATAAAACCCTGAATCTGATTGGATCTCTCAGGCCTGAAGCTCAGGGAGAAACCAGGCTGAGACCCCTCTGTGTGGACTTGATGTGGTCTCCTGGCTTCTCTTCAGGACCGGTTTCCTCCGCTAGACCAGAACCATGCAGGTCTGCTTGATTGAACTCTGAACAGACTCTGGGCTTGAACCTGATCAGTTCTCATGTTTCTGTGTGAGACCAGATGAACCTGGACTCTGGCCCAGGGGGCCACTGACCTGACATCAGGTGAAACATTGGAACAAACGTTATCGATGGACGAGCTGCAGTTTGAACCGTGTGTTCRATGTAAACCTGTCGTTTTCAAAGAACCGTCGTTTTTTTTAGCGTCGAACTAAGAAGATTTATTTTTTGCCTCATCAGAGGAGCTACTGATGGAAGGAAACAGGTTTTTACTGCAGAAAATCTGCTCAACTTGATGGTGAAAACCAGAAGAACAGCGACGTCTGTCTGTTTAAATCTGAGGAACATGGATCTGTCCACGCCATGAGAGGAAGTAAAGATCACGAGTTCAGGTCTAAATGACTGAAAATATAAACATGAACACAAATCTGAGAGAAATGTGGGATTTTTTACTTTCATCAGAGGAAAACTGAAGATTTATTCAGGTGTAAAGAGTTGAGTCTCATCGATGGTAAATAAACTGAAACAGGATCTTTCTCTGAGGAGAATTTAACTCAACGATCGGAAACAAAACATTTGATTCATCAGAACAAAGATGTTTGTTTAAAACAAGGAGAACGAGTGACTTCATGAAGAAACTAATGTTCCTCTGAAAGACGAGTTCATCTGGAAAACATGAAAAGTGTGAACTTTCACCCAAACCTTTACCTCACCTGTGCTAGGAAGAGCCGTACCCCTGAAGCCCCTTAGAGTTTAATAAAAGGATCCTTTAAAAGAATCAAAGTAAACCTCCTGTTAGAAAAGTTCAAGTTATTAGAATAATAATCTGTGGAGTTTATTAAAGGTAAGTTTGGTTTGGTTTGGTATGGTAAGATCTTTTATTCTTTGCTTCAAGAAGAGAAAAACATTCAGACTAAATTTACCCTCTGGTCAGCATCAGAAGATTACAGTTAGAAAAGTTTCCTCAAAACCTTTGAAAAGCTCAAACTGATAGAAGAACAGAAGTTTCAGGGCTGAAGTTTTCTTCTGAGTAACAAATGATGGAGGAAGACGAAGATCAGACCAGAAGTTTGGATTTTATCAGAGAGAAGCTGTCAGCTCAGCTGTCCTGAAGCCGTACGTCTCGACCCTTTCAGACCTTTAACTTCAGTTCATTTACCTCTGTAATGAGCCTCAAAAATCCCTTATTATCGCAAAAAATCTACTACTCGCACTCGCGGGGTGGTACAGGTGGACTGTCGGCCACAGCAGAGCAGGGTGGAAGCTTTGATGTTATTGTTTTTAACCTCCTGCAGCCTCTGACCTGAAATCAGTTTCAAACTGAGCTTTTCAAAACATGCTCTATACGTCCATATTCCTGCAAAATGATGGAACATCCGTGTAAWTTACGGACAGTCCGTCCAACTTGACGTGAAGTGTCCCACAGACCGGAGCAGAGTTAGGATGTGAGACAGGAAGCTGTGCTTCACCTGTACCACAGGAAGTCACCTGATCAGGACTGATTCATTAAAGGAGCTCTGTGTTAAACGCAGAAAACACCCAACATCTGAGGCTTTGAAACAGTTTACGTTCGTAGACGAGAGAAGTTTGGATCCACAGACCCACTAAAACCCAGACTTGACGATTCACCTGGACTGAAGCAGATTTCAGGTAACGGTTGTCTTTTTTTATAAACAGAGAGGAAGATGAAGCTGCTCATCTTCAAATCTCCAGTTAGAAACTCACCAGATCAAGTTTTGAGTTTAAAAAGAAATATATTGAAAAATCCTTTAAAGGAAAGAATCATCTGGATGTGAAGGTCAGAAACACCCAGCATCATCATCATCATCACTGTAAACAGTCTGTTAGAAGATCAAAGGAAGGTTTGGTTTCCAAACAGGAAGTGAAGTGTTGTATTATCTGGAGCGTGTTGAGCTTCCTGCAGACTGACGGCGTTGATCTTCCTCCTCTGCAGCTCGCTCTGCTACTCCTCAGACCGCCAGCTGTCCTTCGACCTRGTCAACGTGGGGCGCCAACGCCACCACTTCCTGCCCATGCTGGAGCACTCCGGCACGTACCGCGAGACCGAGATGCACACTGGAGCCTTCGCCCAGGAGATCATCAGCCTGGTGCACTACGTCAAAGGTACACACACGACGTCAAAGGTACACACACTACGTCAAAGGTACACACACGACGTCAAAGGTACACACACGACGTCAAAGGTACACACACTACGTCAAAGGTACACACACTACGTCAAAGGTACACACACTTCGTCAAAGGTACACACACTTCGTCAAAGGTACACACTACGTCAAAGGTACACACTACGTCAAAGGTACTCACACTACGTCAAAGGTATACACACTATGTTAAAGGTACACACACTATGTTAAAGGTACACACACTACGTCAAAGGTATACACACTACGTCAAAGGTACACACACTACATCAAAGGTACACACTATGTCAAAGGTATACAT